AGAAGAAATTGTTGAAAAAGTGAAGCAGAAATACATGTATGATGAGTAAGCTTTGTTTTAACTGAATATTGTTGACCGTACAATTAGGCAAAGGGTCAGTGAGAAGGAAAGAAGTTATCGGAATGATGACAATACTTCAAGGTATTTATTGTTCTAATTGTAAAAAAAAATCATATAGGGCAATTGAATTTAGTGATGAAAAGAGTGACATTTCACAGTGGACAGTAAGAAATGAAGATATTGATGGAAAGAATTGGTTTGTAATATTTGCATTTCTTAATAATTGAAACAACATTGTATATACAGTAAAGAAATGCAGTCTAATGATTGCAGTGTTGAGCCAAGCTTAAAAAGTGGACCCACATCACAAATTATGAGAGCAGAGTAAGATATTTATTTGGGACAAAATAATGATATGTTCTACTGTAATATCATTCAGGCTATTAGTGAAGAACAACTGTGTATCCCATGATCCTAAATTGAAAACTTTTACAGTCATAGGATCTGGAGAGAAGCCACATGCTGTTAGGATATTTCCTGCAGAGTATTGTTCATGCCCATCCAGCACCACTTGTTATCACATACTTGGTGTGAAACTTAGCTTGGGAATTCCAATTGATGACACAGGAGTAACAAAGGTGAATTTGTCCCAGTTGCGTTGGAATAAAAGGCCCAGAAATCAAAAAAAATGTGGTAGAAAAAGACCAAGGCCAGGTAATAGGTGCTCAATTGAAGTAGAACTTTAACACATTAAATTAACTTGCAGGTGACAGTGACGTTGAAGTTTTACCTGCTCCAGACTCTGCATTGCAGTGTGACACTGTATGACAATAATATTTTAATCCGCCAATTTTTAGCTTTTATTTTGCAAATAGGCCAATGGAAACACATTTGTGTCTTTCGATGAAGAGCAAGTTAAGCAAGTAGCCAAGGTATCATTTTCCTTTTCATATGTTAACTACACTATGTTGTAGGATGATAACAAAATTATGAGTTTTATATCCAATCCTCATTCTGACTCCACTGCACCAAATGTTAGTCCCTTATTGATGACCTTAATACAAATATTTTTTTAAACAGGCTAAAAATATCAAGTACCAGACAGAAGCTTCCCAAAGAACTCCTGAAATAGTCAAACGTGTGCAATTTAAATTATACACAGTATATATATATATACTGCATTTGTTCCCACATAGGAGGTAGATGCATGAAGTGTGAAGGTTGCAGAAGGGCTGATTGTGGAGAATGTTTATATTGCAAAGATGAAAAGAAATTTGGTGGACCAGGCAAGAAGAAGAAAGCATGCATGAAAAGAGTATGTATTGCTGTGTGTGAAAAGGTTTGAATTTTGGGTCTGTAAAACAATAAATTACATCTCATTATGTAGACAACATCAGTTAAGCAGTTTCAAAGTGACAAGTAAGTTTTTGCTACCATATCTCTATTGATAACATTATCTGCCCCTCTTTCATTGTATAACAGTCAGCCTGGTGTGAAGTTATCAGTGAAAGAACCCGCTAAAGATGAAGCTAATTTAAATGATGGCCTAACCAAATCATCTGCGATTCCTGTTGATGATTTGCCAGAGCAAGAGAATGATGAACCATGTAAATTCAAAATTTTGTCTCGCATGTATTTTTTTGTCATACAGGTATGTATTTAGCTACGAGTCCATACGCTTTGGTGACGCTGGATGACTTTGCCACAGTATACAAAGGCCAATGGCTCAATGATCAGGCAAGTTGATACCACTGGTTTGGATTATTGATTATTGATCATATCATGCAGGTAATTAATTATGTGCTACATTATATCTTCAAAGAAGAATTACCAGGGAAATTTTCTGTGAATAAAGAGAAATACAATGTAGGATTATGATTATTAAACTACATTGTAAAACTGCAAACTTTTAGAAAAATATGTTTTGTGTATTGCCAACAGCAATCTTTAGCAAATTATTTGCTACTCAAGCTGATGAGACTGTTGACAGATACTTTCGAGTAAGCTATTTCTTCAGATCTACATTTACACACTGTCAATTTAGGATTATGACATAAGAGAAGTTCAATCTA